CAGATCCCCTGGGACTGGAGTTACAGGTTTTTTAAAGAAAGGTTTCTAGACCAGAGGGAGTTTCACACTTCATCATTTATTCTTCATTAATTTGTAACTGATTTGCTTATTGCTTTGTTTTTTCTGCTGAGAGCACATTTTAGTCACCATTGGGCTAAGTAGAGGAACTTTTATTTAAAATCACCCATGACAATTTTTCATGAGATTTGTCTGCAAAAACATTTTTTCTTTGTATTCCTTATTTACTTCCATCAAAATAACAACTTACAGTTACTGCAAAAAGAAAAGATGCTGTGGTCATCTCTGAGCATTTCAGAAAGCCCATCAATCCGTTTGTAAAGGAAAACTTTATGCATACTATTACATTCAGAGGTAAATCTTTCCAACTCAGGTATTTCTAATTCATGTGGCAGTGTGAAAGGTGGGAGCATTTCTGCACTTGAAGCAATAGCAGATAACAACTCAGCAGAAATTAGAGGTGCTTCTCATGTACATGCATGATTCAGCCCTTTCTTTTGTGCCCAGTGATAATACAGGAAGTGGTAATGGTTTATATAACTTGAAAGTTCAATTTACTTAACTTGAAAGCATTTTAGGTAGCATACCTGCTGCTCTCAATTCATAACAATTCTAGCTCAAGAAACACTTATTACTGTTTGGTGAGATGGCTCAGCAGGTAAAGGAACTTGCCACCAATCCTGATGACTGGACTTTGATCCCAGGGACCCACATGGTGGAAGGAGAGAACCAATTCACAGGTTGTCCTGTACACACACACACACACACACACACACACACACACACACACACACCGATGTACACAAACAAGATAAATACATGCTGTCCTCTAACCTCCATGTGCACTCTGTGGCACAAACATAAAAATGTAATTTAAATTTTTAAAAACTTATTTTGAAGATCAGTTTCCGATCTACAATGTGGACTCTGAGGGTGATTACTATAGAGCACCCAGTAAAATTACCATGACAGGATTACTATAGAGCACCCAATAAAATTACCGTGACAGGATTACTATAGAGCACCCAGTAAAATTACCGTGACAGGATTAGTATAGAGAATCCAGTAAAATTATCGTGACAGGATTAGTATAGAGCACCCAGTAAAATTACCATGACAGGATTACTATAGAGCACCCAGTAAAATTACCGTGACAGGATTACTATAGAGCACCCTGTAAAATTACCGTGACAGGACAACGTAAGGACTAAATTTTCCTTCCAATTTCTTTATCAAATGATGACAGGATTAGTATAGAGAATCCAGTAAAATTATCGTGACAGGATTAGTATAGAGCACCCAGTAAAATTACCATGACAGGATTACTATAGAGCACCCAGTAAAATTACCGTGACAGGATTACTATAGAGCACCCTGTAAAATTACCGTGACAGGACAACGTAAGGACTAAATTTTCCTTCCAATTTCTTTATCAAATGCAATTGCAGAAACTGAAAAACACAGTGAGGTAAAAAACACTGAGAACAGCAGCACCCCAATTTCCACTAAGCAGAGCACTGAGTCATGTGACTCTTAGTCATCAGTGAACATGTGGAGAGAAGAGTCCAGAAGTCACATTTCCCAGGAATCACAGCCTTTTAAATGAAAAGTTATAAATTCAGGTTGGTCACTAAATTTTCAGTTTTCCCACTCCAAAAGAAAGGAAGCATAGATAATACTTTCAAAACACCAGAAAAACGAGAACCTTCATAGACCCTGAAGACAATTCTGAACATTGAGAAAAGCAGACTTAGTAGAAAGAAAATAATAATTTTACTAATGGAACAATTATCAGTCCAGTTGATAATTTCATTTCATTGCACTAAGAGTACAAAGAGGGTTCAAAGCTTAATTCCCTGAGAGACAATTATGAAAAAAAACCCTAATTAAGAGTTTAAAATGTCACAATCGTCTACATCTACCACAAATGTTAAGAATGAATGTAGGAGGCTAGAGAGATGTTTCAGCAATTAAGAACACTTGCTACTCTTGCAGAGCCCCACATGGGGGCACCGTACAACCATCTACAAGTCCAATTCCAGCAGATCTGACACCCTCTTCTGGCTTCTGCAGGCACAGTGTACATGTGGTGCACTTACATAAATGTTGGCAAAATACTCATACACATTAAACTTTTTTTAAAAAAGGGATGTTGGAATTAGAAAGTAATCTTACTGGGATACACCTCATGTTTTTCCCCTTAGAGTACTCTCTAATCCAAGAACAGTGTGTTTCACAAGAGCGCCCTCCCCACACTTGGGATGGGAAGCTAGCATTCATACCAGTTTTGCCATTGCTCAAAAATGAAACTAGAAGACAGAACTGTGTTATCATGACTGATGCCTCCCAGGAAGCAGAAGTTCCCCTGGAAAAACTACTCATTGATTGATAGTTATTTCATCTTCTGACACTGAAACAGCCCTTGACAATTCAAATTGCAACACACTTAGAGAACATACGTGCACCCAAAGGAAAAATTAAAATGAGCCAACGTCACCAGAAAATGTTCCCGTCTGCCAGGAATCCCCTCATAAGGAAGATAAAGTCAGGATGCTTCTGTTTTCTAATAGTCTGCTCAACAAATGATCTGTACCTAAAGATTAATGTCGTGTCTAAGGGATAAGGACAAAACCAAAATGAAGGTCAAGAGGAAGGGCTTCTCCAGAATGCAGCACAGAGTATACGTGAGGACATAAGAAGCAGGATCGCCACACAAACGTTTTCACCCACACACATGAAAGGAGGGAGAAAAAAATTATAGGAGAAATTCCGAGTTCTAAACTTTCTACATTTAACTCAACTTGATGAGAAAAACAAAAACGAAAATGGATTAGACAGTGAAGATGTTACTGCCATAAAACAAAGGCATGCACAGAATGATGGAAGCATACAGCATCTGACTTCCACATTTCTTGGGACTGAAGGTTCAGTGGGTGTTGCATCAACCACCACCAAAGGGGTCCAGCTAGAACTACTGTGCCTACATTAACCACAAATCATGCAGATCACCAAAGACACCGGTTTAAAGAAACTTGTTCTTTTCAGAGTTCAGATTTGTTTAATAAAACGAGGTTTCTATCATGAAATTGACATGGACTAAATGCATGTTACAAGATTCATTTTATCTGGCAGTAAACAAGAATTTAGCTCTTCCAAGTTTCAAACTGGAAATGAGATTGAGGTAGAATTTGTAGAGTATAAGGATTCTCTTCTAGTTCAACAAGATAGCCATCGAGATGCTCTTCCTGAAGTCCTCACATGAGGCTTTGAAGATTCTTATTGAGATGTGCATTTCTATTATAAAGTACAAAAAGTGCTTATTCTAATCAAGAAATTCATTTCAGCCAGGCATGGTGGTACATGCCTTTAAGGCCAGCACTAGGAAGGCACAGTCAGGTAGACCTCGTGAGTTCAAGGCCAAAACCAAGAGAAATTCACTTTAAAGAATCTGAGGAGATATTATGTAAATGCAAATGGTACAAAAAGCATGGACAAGCACTTTGTTAGGGATATCTCTGAAGGGATGGCACAGGGTTTAGAGGTTACACTAGCATGCGTGAATTTCTAAACTCCTTCCAAATCTAAAACCTTGACTACGGTTCTCCCAGCAGGCCTGCTATGAAGAAAAGTTTTACCCCCAGTGCCAGACACGACAAACAGGAGTTGTGGTGTTCAGTATGTGACAAAAATTAAACCTTTAGACTATGCTGCAATTCACAATGCTCTTCACTGAATTTATTCCAGGTTAAGATCTTGCCGCCATTCGTTTCAGGCCGAGTTTCACTTTGCTTGAACAGGGTGGTTTAGCTTAAATGTTCTACTGTTTTTGACAATGTTATAAACAATAGTTAAAATGAGTTTTAAAAACATTCAACAAATGTCACAGCTCAAATTCAGAAATAAACACATACACCTCAAACTCATGCTATGATAAATTATTTAGAAGTCAGTGGTCGTTGCTTGCTTAGGTCTTTCTAGTATTCATTCTAGCATGAAAGAATGCAGCTCCAGTTTAAACAATGCTAAGTAATTATGATTATCTCATAATCCAACCTGGATTCTTAGTTCTGGAAACACAGTGATTGCCTTTTACATAGATAAATTAGGTTGTAGGCATAGTTTGCAAAATATTTACCCACATATTTCCCAGGAATTGATGAACTAGTTAGTAAAACCAAACTAGTTGGAGACTAGTAAGCTAATTGTTTTATATTTTCTTTTTCATGTTTTTTTATCTTTATTTTATGTGTCTGAGTATACTTTCAGTGTACAGTGCCCACTGAGGTCAGAAGGGGTTGGATTCCTTGGAACTGGAGTTACGGGCAGGTGTTAGCGGCCATGTGGGTGCTGGGATTCAAACCTGTGTCTTCTGCAAGAGCAGTCAATCCTCTTAATTGCTGAGCCATCTTTCTAGCCCCCATCATTTTGCATTTTCAAGATACTGATTCACATTGGACAGAGTGGTGTACCTATAATCCCAGCATTTGGGAGGCAGAGGCAGGAGAACTGAGTTTAACGACAGCCTGGGGTGCAAAGTGAGTTCAAAGTCAGCCAGAGAAATATAGCCATATTTTTGTCTCAAAAACAAAGAAACAAAGAAAGGTGCTTGGGATGTAGCTCAGTGATAGAGTGCTTGCCTAGCCTACACAAGCCCATGCTCAACAGCACCGAAAAAAGATACTGGTTCAGGGTTGGAGAGATGGCTCAGTGGTTAAGGGCACTGGCTGTTCTTGCAGAGGAACCACGTTCAATTCCCGTATCCACATGGTGGCTAACAAAGGTCTGTAATTCCAGTTCCAAGGGATCCACGGGCACTGCGCACAGTGGTGTGCATACATACATACAGACCAGACATTCAAACACATAAAATGAAAAACTTAAAAAGAGACTGGTTTATACACCATCAAATTTCCACAAACTAGTAATGCAACCTATTCTTAGCATGGCAGTAAATCACAAAGAAAAATCAAGCCTACAAAAGGTACTTGAACATCACATCTTTAATACTGTCTTAAAAGGTCTGTTACTCTCCAACTAGTGTACTCTGAAATATAAAATGGTTGTTCTAAGTCTAAATAGGTAATTCTTATAGCAGTATCTGTCTACTACGAACGTCTTACAAAGCCAGAACACAATCCACAATGTGAACAAAAACTGCAATATTTTAGTCTCAACATTCAGCAAAATAAACAGGATATATGGGGTTGCTTTTGAATATAAATCACTTTAAGTAAACTGGATATAATTTCTAACAAGTTAAAGGTGAAAAAATAATTTTTATGCTACATCTTGACTTTAACAGTCATGGGCAACATTACCATATTATGATACAAACCAAACTCTATTAAAATTATTTGTTTAAAGAAATTGTTTACCTGCATTCAAATGCCACAGCATGAGCATGCTGGTCAGAGGGCAACTGTGGGGTTGGTTCTTTCCGTTCACCTTCACATGGGTTCCAGAGATCCTAGAACAGCCATTTCATCAGACCAGCTCCCAATTTTTACTTCACTGATAGCAATGCCTCATTTTAAAGCACATCTTTTCACTAAGATACACTTTCAATTTTATAATGGTATGGAGAAAAAGGACTTTTTAAAAATCTGCTCTTTTAATAATCTAATGATTAATTATGGAATAACTTCATTTTCTCTTTTGAAGACAGCTAAATCCTTTTCCCTCAAATACTGACAGTTTGACAAATGATTCAGAAAAATGAATAAAGCTCTGACTATAAATACAAATGCATATGAACATCTCTATACACTGGGAGGCTGTCTTATGATCTCACCTATACTTCTGGTTTAAACTATAGCAAGTTCTCTCAATAAAGGGCATTCATTTTAATTTTTAAACTTAAAATCTGTACTGTTTACTGCACTGTTAGCCACTCTATTTCTCATTTTTACATTATTTCTATAAACACACAAAGGGAAAAAAAAAATCCACATTCTTGAAACCAACATTATACTGGCAGTCTAAGGATATTTTTTTAAATAACTTTTAAAATCTTCTGTTAAAATGTAAAAACTCTGAAGTCACAAACAAAAAAAAAATCACAATTTTATAGTATATATCTAATTTATTTTTAAAAAAATATTCTGAATTTTTTATACAAGTAATCAAGTGTTATATTTCCAAATGAAACTCCTATATATTGGTTAAAAGAGAGTATGTGGTCTTGGACTACTAGAAATCAATACTTTTCACTTTTCAAGCTGGTACTTCAACAATTTCAAAAAAGTCATTTGGTAGAATCACATAACCTCTTTCTGATACGTCATCTTTCTCTTTCTGGAAGTGCACGACCTCCTTTAACTTTTCAAGCTGTCGTTCCTGTCTTCTGCATCTCTGCTGAGCAGTCTTGAGCTTCTTCCTGAGCTTCTCAACCTGCTGTTCCAGCTGATGAATCCTCTTTCTCTGGTGCATCGTATCCTCCACGGTGTAATTGTGGTCACAGAAAACTGAGAGGTTATCAGGGGTCTGAAGAGGAGGCATCAGCAACCCAATAGCAGCATCAACCTGGGAAGCGGGAGGTGAAGGAGGAGACGGAAGCTGTTCTTGGGGTTCCAGAAGATCTTCCTTCTAAAACAGCAACACGTGAGCATACGTGAGTTTAGTAACTAAAAATAACAGCCTGAAAGACTCTGTACAGTTTCAGAAGTATTAGACATTTTTGTGACTCCGTGGTCTACAAAAATTCTGAATAGAGTATCTTTTCTTGGCTTCTGCAGCACTGGGAGAGAACCCAGGGCACCAGGCCTTCTAGGCAAGCTCTCTACCAAGAAACTGCACCTGCTAGGGCCCGATAGCTGCAGTATTGGGTTTTGTTTTAAGACAGGGTCTCGCTGTATCACCTAGGCTGGCCTTGAGCTTCGCCTGCCTCCCTTGTGCCTCCAGGCGCTGTGCCACCACGCCTTGCTCCACTTTCAGTCTTCTTTTTAAGAACAGGCTCTTACGGTGTAATCCAGGCTACGCTGGGACTTACTAGGTAGACCGAAACTTGTGGCAGTGCTCTTGGTTCTGTCTCTTCCATACTGGTATACAGGCATTTCCCTGAATTTTACAAAATTCCCACTATGAATACCTGAAGCCAGGTGCATGCTTACAATCCCAGCACTTCAGAGGTAGAGGCAAGAGTCCAAAGCACGTCCGAACTCCACAAGACCCAACCTCAAACAAGGGAGGGAGAAAGAAAGAAAAGGAAAGGAAAGAGAAGAAGAAAAGGAAAAGACAACCGAATATTTTAAATTCCTATTACCTTGTCATGTGGCTCAGTACAAAGAAATATTGTAGGGACAGCATTCTCTTTCAGTAACTTGTTGTTGCACTCTCTCTTAAAGCAGTCTGGAGTAAAGTGCTCTGAACAAATACTACTGTATTTAGTGGGCTTAAAGTTTTTTCTTCTGACAGCTGCCTCCCACTGCTTACAAAGACTAGGACGAGTCAGGGGAAACCTAGGAAGACACAAGATTCAGTTCTCAAATCTTATTCGAATAAGTAAATAAATGCACCAAAACTTAAGAATAAACTTTGCTTATTAAAAAATTATCTTACATTGGTGTTAACATACTAAGGAGCATTTGATTAAAGACGAGTTCCAGTTATTAATGCTGAGATTAAATACTGGACCACAACCAGGTCAAAATTTACCTTCTTATAATGAAGACACTAGTAGTTACTCAATAACTATGTAATAAAACCACATTCACACTTTTTACTAGCAATTTTCTGTGTGCTTTACAAAAAAACCCCAAAATTTGCATATATATGTCTGTATCCTGGGATACAGAGACTTTTAGTTCTCTTAGGACCAATCTGAGAAATATAAGCTAAATATAATATAGGCAAATAAGGAAAATGATTTATCTCAACTCAGCGTAGGCAAAAGGAGGCTGTTAATATTTATTGTCACTAAACTTTTCCAGATCAAGGACTTGGTGGCGTGCTGGAGGGATTAGAAAAAGCCAAGAAGGATGTTTCTATGTTCCTGAGTTACTTCTCACATGAAGCATGGCAGGGCCTGATTACACTCTTCTCATGAAGACTTCACCAATCTTTATGTTAGCTCTTACCCTTCGCAGCAAGCTTTCCCACGGCCACTGTTTAGAAGCTGGAAAAGACTGCACTCCTTAGGACAAATTCTGGCAGCAGCTGCTCATAAGACTGAGTATCCACAGCCTCCTGGCCTAGGCCACAATTTCTCAGTTTGGGAGACCTGTCCACGTCTTTCCCATCCACTGTTCTTTAAGATGAGGGATACGATGCCTATCAGCCCTTTTAAAGTTTTTTAGCACTCAGGAGAACGAATATTTTTGATGTGTGTGTCATCTTTATTCTCCATATTCTTAGATTCCCTCTTCCACGTTAACAGAAATGTGGGGCAGGGGAGGTGGAGGTTGAATGCATGTTCCTATCACCATTTCCTGGGCTATTCTATTATTTTTTAATTGAGTTTTTGTGTATTTCATATAGAAAGTCATTTTTATACCCCCTTCCCCTTTGGTACATTCCCATAGCATTTGTGTTAAGGCTTATCATGTAAAGTTAAGTGTCCCCAGATGTCCCTCAGTGCAAGTTCATCCTGAGCTATTCTTACACTTTGAAGATATAAGAAATTTTACCTATCTCCTAATACCCTTCATCGTCTCAGAGAGACCAGGCACACTCTTCTGGAGTCCATCTCACTTTTTACATCGCTTATTAAACATAAACAGTACCCAAACAGAAAACAATGAAGGACTACTTTAAAATTTGCTTTTGTAATTGCTTTGTTACGAACACCCTGCATAATTTACTACTGAACCTGATTTTTTGGCTATCATTTGCAAAGTGAGGAATTCTTGCAGAGATCTGATGTATACATCAGAGCTTCATTACCAATTTCAATTCTGTGCCCACCATGGCTGTGGTCAGACAGGCAGCAGCGCCCCCTGGCCTTCCCTAGGCACCTCCATAAAGGTGGGTACCGTCCGCGCTCAGGGCCGCGTCCCCGCAATACCCGGTTGACAAGTCGGCTCCTTCAAAGAGACTCGAAGGTTCTGCCGACACCCGAGCAAGAGTCCGTCCGCACAAGCGCTCCGGAAAGCTGCCTCCCTGGGTCTCAGGGGTTACGGCGAACGCTACCGACGGCCCGAGCCCAGACTCTACCCGGGACCGCAGCCCGGACTAGAAGGCGGCGGCCGGCTCGGCCGGAACCGCCGTCCGAGGCCTAGCGCCCAGCGCGCAGCCGCGGGTCCCCGCCCCAGAGGCCGCAGACCCGCCCTCCTCCTGGTCTCGCGCGCACACGCGCGGGCTCCGCCCCACCCGCCCGCGGGCCCCTCGCCCCGCTGGGCGGCCGCAAGCGCGTTACCTACTTGTGGAAGGACACGGGCTTATCCTTGTCGTAGCGGTTCTTGCAGCCGTAGGCGGAACAGGACTGCACCATCCTTCCGGCCCTCCTCACGTCCCCTCCGCCGCCCGGGACGGGCTCCCGGGGTCGCTGCACCCGGCTTCGGCACCCGCTACTGCGGCGGCGTTGCGGACGGCTACCGACGCGGTGACTTCCCGAGGTGACTGTTGTGGCCGGTTTGTTGTTTGCATTAACAGAAACACCACCTCAGTCGCCCGTCTCCCATCTTCAAGATGGCGGCGGCAGCTTCAACCTCACCTCTCGCGAGGACTTGGCCGATTAGCCGACGGTAACGTTCCCCAGGAAGCAGGCCATTGGCTGAGGCCTGGCGTGTCTCTGGGGCGGGGCCTTTGCGCGTAGGCTGGAAGAAGGGGAGTCCGTCCTGGCGTCCTACTTCCGCTCTTGGTGGGGTGGTGAGGCCGGAAGAGCTGTCCGGGGTCTCGGAGGCTGTTCGGGGAGTCTGGCCCGGGGCCGCCGTAATGTACACCTGAAGCCCGAGGCCGCGCGCAACCCGGTGACCCACCGGGCCGGAAGGACGACCGGGTTCTGCATCTTCCCAGCTGCTGGGCGGGGCTTCACCTCGGAGTCGTCTCCCGCCGACCCGCCCCCGGGCCTCCCCGAGTGTGCACCGCGTTCTTGTCCGTGTTATGCCTTCGGAGCCCATGGAGTCCAGCACGGCAGCGTCTTGATCCTTGGACTCAAAGATTTTCCTAGATCTTTTATTTCTACATAATCTGTTTTACCTTCTGGATTGTCGGTTAGAAGAGTTATCTCTTCAACTGTCCAAACCTGAAACCGTGATATCAATAGGATTAAAAATTTTTTTCTTAATTTTGTGTTTTGTGTGTATGAGTGTATTGCCTGCGTGTATGTAAGTGCGCCCATGTTGTGCAGTTCCCGCAGAGGTCAGAAGAGGACGTCGGATGCCCTAGAACTGGAGTTACAGCGGCCATGTAGACGCTGGGAATTTAACCCGGGTCCTCTAGCGCAGCCAGTGCTCTTAACCCCTGAGCCATTTCTCTCATCACTATTCCTGATCAGGATTCAGGATCTCAAGGTGTCTCAGTCATCAGGCTCTTGTCAGCCCTTGTCTCCAGCTTTGTCCGTTTCCAATCTGTCTTCCATTGAAAAACTCACTCCCCTGTTTTATTTTCTTCACTGGGTACCCCTTGTACTGAGTAAAATCCAGATTGCTTACGGCAGGCCTTTGAGGACCACATATTTTTTCACCATCTTCAACTTGTCCTTAAATTTTTTTCTATCTTTGTCTTAGGAGGACAAGCTCTTTTGTGGCTTGCGCAAATATGGCTGTTTTCTTTTACCTAAAATGTCTACCCCAGCCTGGCGCTGTGGCACACACCTTTAATCCCAGCACTTGGGAGGCAGAGGCAGGCAGATCTCTGTGAGTTCAAAGCCAGCCTGGTCTACATAGTGAGTTCCAGGACAGCTGGGGCTACAAGGAGACCCTGTCTCAGAAAGACAAAAAAAAAAAAAAAAAAAAAAAGTCTACCCCAACCTGTCATCCTCAGGTATCCTGTGTGTATCCTAACAAGCTTTCCTTACCTTCTTTCCTACCTTCCCAACTAAGGCACCTTCCTTTTTTCTGTGAAATTTGGACTGCTCTCTGTAAGGCGTGATAGGCCGTGATGTCTATGCTGCATGCCTCATCTCAACTGGGATGCTGTTGAAAACAAGAATTGAGTCTTACTGAGGCCCAGCAGTCCAGCAGCTTTCAGTATCTGCCATAAATTAATTAAATGTTGAACTGAACCGACCTTGAAACTATCAAAGATAGTTTCAGGGTTGTTAGCTCTACAGCAGAAAACTAGGATAATAGTTTACTATTAGCATTTTGAGGGTTATTAAGACAGAGGGTAATCTGTTGTCCATTGTGCAAATATGTATCATTGTGACCACAGGTTGAGCTGAAAATATAATTTTGCTCAGTTAACTGAAATTAATTATGCAATTCTTGGGGTTTGGGCTATATTGGTGAACAACTGGTGAGCTCTTATTTTGTTATGCGGGAAAATGGGAGGCAAACAAATGTGATCACACAATAGTTTATAAGGTGAAAAGTGCTATGAGGAGGTTGCCACTGTTGTAATGGATAAGACAGACCTAATAGAGGAAGTAACTCTTGAACAAAGATTTGGAGTTGATGAGCTGGCCTAGAGGATATCTTCTGAACCGTGTAGCCTGAGGGATGACTAAAGCAGACCTCCTGGGGCTTTTAGCACCTTAGCTGTTCAAATAAAAACAAGAGGTTAGTGTACTGGGCCAGTACCCTGGCCTAGGGACAAGTAGATGGGAGTAGAGAGGAAGCTAGGAGGCTAGAGTGGAAAGGGCTTTGTTGCCTTGTGTGAGGAATTTTACTATGAAATGAAGAGCAGCCTTGGTTTATTTGCCATGCTGGGGTTTTCTACTGAGCAGCAACTGGCTCCACAGCATGTTTTTAAACAGATGGGTAACAGTTTTTAACATATTCTGCAGGGCCAGGCTTGGTAACTCTTGTAACTTCAGCTTCCACAAGGTAAAGGCAAGAGTCTTGAGTTTGAGGTCAGCCTGATCCAATGTTACAATGGCTGGCAGGAAGCTCCCTGGGAGAAGACTGGTCAAGAGAAAATTTCTGACCTGGGTAAAGACTCAGCTTTCTAGTTCTGCTGCCTATACGACCACCCCAGGAAGGTGGTCACCTTAAGTTGTGCTAGAGAGATAGGCTGAAAATGTAGTGTGTTAATGAGACAGTGCAATTTTCCTGCCTGGAACCCCCGCCCCTTAGTGCAGTTCTTGTGTACCTGCTCATCAGATACAGAATTCTTCAGAAAAGCAAGACCTCTTGGTGTCTTCATCTCTTTTCTAACCATACTTCCCCGAACACTTTGGGCTGCCCCAACACCTTCTATCTTTACTTTTTCTTTAAAGCTTCCCTTCCCTCGGGCCATGAGGCTGCTAGTCCGCCACCTGGTGTCTGGTCTGACCTCCAGCAGCTTTAACCCTGTACGGCTTCCAGGCTTTTTGGCTTTTCCCGCCGTTCTCAGGGCAGCTGCTGAGATTTACAGCCTAAGTTCTAATCACATTGTCCTAACACTTCCAATTGAGTCCATTCTTTAATTCTTTTAGAATGAAATTGAGGACCCTATTTCTTCTTGTATTACTACTTAGTGAATTCCAGTCAAACCCTGGCTTTAAAAAAACTCTGCTATGTTGTTTAGATGGGAATGGAAGGTAATTTAGAGTCCTCCGAAGAGACTGGTCTCTGGTAATGTAGGTGAGATAATTTAATGGAAGCAATGATGGAATAGGAAGTGATCTTTCCTCTAGTTCATTTTTCTATATTGTGCACCTACTATAGTGGTAGGCATGCGATGTTAAGATTTGGTTAGTGAGGAAGATTAATGTTGTGCCCATCTTCATAGAACATATACTCTACAGAGGGGAAAGGTAAACAATAAAAATGTTAACTGTGCTAAGGCCCATGAATATATCCAGTGTCATAAGGGTGAATAAGGAGCAGGTCACTACCTACTTTAATTACAGGAGGTAACCCATGCAAGGGAGGAATACTTACACTGGAAACCTGAGACACAGTGAATGAGAGGTGAGAAAAGAGCATTGCAGGCCCTGGGAGTGCACTAGGGCACTGACTTGTGTCTGAAAGTACAGCCAGGCTCTGGTGCTGGAGCCCTGTGAGAAGGGCATAAAGTAGGATCAAAGGCAGAGTTGGGCAGTACTTTGGATAGTAAGTCCAGTGGAAACCCACAAAGCCATTTTAGGCACTGATAAACATTTTTTAAAGGTAATTGCCTATTTTAAGAGCTGGAAAAGAGGAACCATGCAAAAGAGCAAGCCAGCTAAAGCAGCTGTTCTGGTGAGCTTGGACGAAGGTGGTGGCAGCAAAGTAAGTTTCTTATTTTCAGAAGGATTTTTTTCAGAAGCCTTCAAGATACATGAAGGGAGTGGGAATACTAGGGTTACTGATACACAGAGAATCAGAAGGAAGGAAAAAAAGACTTACTCTTGGGTCTCTAAATTGAGCACCTGGTCTGAGCATTGGATGAATGGTACTGGAAAGGCCACTGAGTTGCAAATGGTCTTTTGAGAAAAGTAGCTTTCCTTCCCACCACAAGATAAAAGATTTGGAAGTAGGAGAGGTGATTTAAGGAGGAGGAGGTTGAGAAAGGCAGACTGTGGGGTGGGGCTGTCTGTCGGAAGAGAGTTTAAAGTGAGGCTGCTGGCCAAGTCAGGCGAATCTGTGAGCTGCCCCTCTCGTTCATCTCTTCTATGTCTTCCTTACTATCTAGAAGTTGGAAGTGAAATACATACTTTATTCTGTTGGACAAAATCCTTAATGCCCTTACCATTTTAAAATGGTAAACTTATGGACATGGTAAATTGCTCATAACTTTAAAAATAAATTCGTTGAATTAAACACATTGTAGTTTGCTTCATAAAACACCTCCCAACATAACTTTTCACTACACAGCTTTACAGAAAATGAATTTCACCTTCTCTCAACTAGCACACTGGTCTGTTTTGTCTGCTTTGGGTTTACCCATTATCAATTCCTGGTATTATTCTGATATTAGAATAACAGCTGTTCCTTGTCAAAGATGAAGGCAGGGAAGTATTTTTACTTTTTATTTTCTCTTCTTTTCCCTAGAAAAGAATTTCACATATCCTGTGCTAGCCTCAAACTTACTGTGACCTTGAACTTCTGATCAACATCTGCTGGATTACAGGTGTGCCCACTGGTTTATGTGCCGATGATCAAACCCAGGGCTTCATGCATGCTAAGCAAGCATTCTACCAATTAAGCTACATACATCCCCAGCTTCATTTCTACTTCTTAAGATGAATTCCCAACTTTTTTCTTTTTGAGACAGGGTTTCTGTAGCCCTGGCTGGCATAGGACTTGCCATGTAAACCATGTAATACAGACTGGCCCTGAATTCAGATCTACCTGCCAAGTGCTGGGATTAAAGGGCCCTTAACACCACCCCCCACTCCAACATAAAAGGATTGGTAGAAACAAACCAAATGTCCACAATCAATAGCAGTCAAAACGATGAAGCTAGGAGCTGGAGATACAGCTTGGTTGTTAAGAGTGCTTGCCTGGCACGCACCCTCCTAAAGTGGACTTGGTGGCACATACCTGTAATCCCATAACTCAATGAAGGCAGGAGGATTGGAAGTTCAAAATCATCTTTGTCTATGTATCGTTTACAGCCAGCTTGAGTCAATACATGAGATCCTGTCTCAAAACAACAAAGCTAGAACACACAATGGATGACTCTTAATGTTGAAGTCAGACATAAGAAAATATATTTATGATTCAAAAATATATAAATAAAACTATAGTTGGGTGTGGTGGTGCATGCCTGTAACACCAGCACTCAGTAGGCAGAGGCAGATGGATCTCTAAATTAGAGGCCAACCTAGTCTATATAGCATATTCTAGGCCAGCCAGGGCTACACAGAAGACACACACACACACACACACACACACACAAAAAAAAAAAAAAAAAAAAAAAACAAAAACAAAAAAAACAAAAGAATAAACCAGAGTCAGGAGAAGTTACTTCAGAGGAAAGAGGCCATTAACAGGTGGTGGCCAGTTTGTTCACAAACTCATTGACAGTGCCATGCCATGCGGCTAGCTAGACATTAGCAAGCTTGGAAGAAACTGGGGCTGGGCCCCACCCTTATAATCAGCAGGCTATAGAAACCAAAGACTGGAACTACAAGACTCTTAATTATTGGTCAGAAGAATGGGACCAAAGTCCTTTATCTGGTTCTGGGACTTGAGCCTTCCTGAGCTGCCTAGAAGGT